AACTGCTAACTGAAAGACTGGAGGTTCAAGTCCACCCGAAAGACTTGCTGATCTACTTCCATAAAAACCAATCATTGCCAACTCTGTGGAACACTATTCTCCTCTGACACATGTAGGTCACCATGAGTAGGACTTGATCCAATGATAACTAGTTTTGTCTCCCCCCAGTGCAGCCCAGCCGAGCCTCCAAGCAAGGATGATAAGATCAAAAGCTTTGCTAAGGAAAGACTTACTTTGCTGCCAGCTTGCCCCAGAGAGAGCAAAGAGGAGATGCTGGTCCTCTCGCCCTCCGTTGCCTCCCCTCCCAGGAAAGTCACCTGTTGCCTGTTGGGTGGGCTGACCAACTGTAAGCATGGAACCAGATATGGATAGAGACCAACCATTGTTGTTGTTGTTGTTGTTACGTGCCATCGACCCATAGAGGAGAAGAAATCTACCATCATACCAGTGTCTCCCTCTTCCATCCTGGGGTGGCTGGATTGACTCTTCTTCAGGATTCGGGAAGCAGGAACCTCAGTTAATTCTGACTTCAGTTCCTGGAAGTTCAAATTCTCCAAATTCCATTTAGAAACTGTATTAAAGAAAGAGACAAAATGGCACTGTGAGCAGAACCTATTCAAGGATTGACTATGTTGAGAACAGCAGTTAAGTAGCCTTCCAAAGATAAGGTATCTGAGATTTGCTTTAAGATAGTGGGAGGAGGAGGGAGAGCAAGGTAAATGAAGATTGGAGGATGTTGATAGCTGGTGGGTACATTGGGTTTTGTTCTTTTTTGTTGTCTACTTTTAGAGAGGTTTGAAATTTTCCATAATAAAAAGCTAAAAGTAATAAATTGTATACCAATGTGCCTAGTAAGGTATTCAAAATGAAATAAGCTTGTACACAATTAAAATAATTCCCTCTTGTTGTTAAGTGCTGGTGAGTCAGTTCCAACTCATAGCATTCCTGTATAGGATTTCAAAGGAGTGACTGGTGAGTTTGAACCATTGACCTTGTGGTTAACAGTCCAGTGTTTATCCTACAGCGCCACATCAGGACTCCCCTATCTGACTGATTTCTGAGTGGGTGAGATGTGATTTTAGGGACATTCTTAATGTCTTCTCAGGTGCCTGAAATTCAATCATTAGCAATTCCCTGCTTGACATAAGGTTGGTTTTGTTTTTCCTTTTGTCATAGTACAAATGTTCCCGTAAGAAGTAACCTATTAAGCTTTACACACTGAATTGAAAACATTGAATTAGATCTTTTCTTTATTTTTCATTACAGTCAACCTACTTTTGAATCATTCTTTTTATTTTCAGTTTATCCCCTCTCCCCACTTATTTATTTTGCCTTCCCCTTCACCCAAGCTATTATGTGTCTACTCTCTGCTAGGAGTCCTGGTGTGGCGCTATAGGATAAGCACTGGACCACAAGGTCAGTGGTTCAAACTCACCAGCTGATCCTCAGATGCCCTATATAAGTTTGTTAGACAGAGTTGGAACCAACTCAACAGCATTTAACAACAACAACTCTCTGTTGGCCTTTTTGGAGATCAGTTTTGGAGAAGAGACTGTGTAAGATTCCTACAACAATTTAGGCATGGTTTGAGCCAAGGGAAAGGGAAATAGAGCAGACTGGGAAATGGGTATAGATGTTTCCTCAGACCTTAGTCTCTCTTCATGTAACACATTTTCTACTTTTTCCTGGAATGTGGTCATATAGCAGTCCTTAACACAAGGATAGCCACAGGCACAGGCTCAGACTTTTCTCAGTGTGTTTTCTGTGACCAGCAGCAGTGGTGGTTCACAACTCAGTATCCCCAGGGTCCCAGGACATCCAGGGGGGACATTGGTGCAGGGCCCAAAGCTGTGCTTCAACAGTGCTCAGAGGAGATAGTTTCTATCCTTTATCCATGCGCAGCTTGCCTGAATTTAAACTCAGGCACAAAGCAGGCACAAAGGAGCTCTGGTAGTGTAGAGGTTACAAATCGGACTGCTAATCTCACTGATAGCAGTTCGAAAGTACCAGCTGTTCCGCAGGAGAAAGATGAGACTTTCTGCTCCCGTAAAGATTTACAGCCTCTGAAACCCTATGCAAAGTTGCTATGAGTCGGAACCGACTCCACGGCACATAACAACAACAACAACAACAAATCCGTCTACTGAGTACCTTTTAACCCTTCTAGAGGGTCAGCAAAAAGAGGAAGACCTCCAATGAGACGGACTGGGACAGTGACAGCAGTAATGAGCTCAGGCATAGCAACGATTGTGAGGTTGGCCCAGGATCGGGCAGTGTTTCGCTCTGTTGTGAATAGGGTCGCTATGAGTCGGTACCAACTTGATGGCGCCTAACAACAACAGCTGTAACTCATTTCATCCATCTTTAACCACATATTTTTTGGCATTTGCTCATCTCTGTAAACAGGGCACCCCAGTTGCTGCTGGTGGTGGTTATGAATCGGGCTGCTAATCTCACAGTCAGCAGTTCGAAACTATCAGCTATTCTGCTGTGCCGTGGAGTTGGTTCCAACTCATAGCGACCCTGTACAGGGTTTCTGAGGCTGTAAACCTTTACAGGAGCAGAAAGCCTCATCTTTCTTTTGTGGAACAGCTGAAAGTTTCAAACTGCTGACCCTGAGGTTCGTAGCCAGATTTGTAACCACTATGCTACCAGAGCTTTTTCGGTTGCTAGTGTTTGCCAAACTAAATCCATTGCTCTTGAGTAGATTCTGACTCACATCAAACCGTTAAGGTTTCCAAGGCAATGTCAGCGGTTCAAACTCATCAGCCTCTGCTCGGAAATCCTAAGCAAGGTCTCTATGAGTTGGAACTAATTCAACAGTCCTTACCAACAACAACAACAACAATCTTTAATGAGGAGCAGCTGGTGAGTTTGAACTGCCACGCTTTCTGTAAGCAGCTGAGTGCTTACCCACTATGCTCCTAGGGCTCCTTTGCTAGTGTTTAGTTTTAATGAATTCTAGTACTAGAGAAGTTTTCTCTCCGAAAGGAGTTTATGAAGCCATTCAGCCAAGAGGGTCTCAGATTTGGGATTTGGATAGCCTTTGCCCTGCTTGTTGTTAAATACCATGAAATGGGTTCTGACTCATAGCGACCCTGCACAGGGTTTCCAAGGCTGTAAATCTTTACGGGAGCAGAAAGCCTCATCTTTCTCCCTCGGAACAGCTGGTAGTTTCAAACTGCTGACCTTGAGGTTAGCGGCCCGATTCGTAACCACGATGCTACCAGCGCTCCTATTAAAATAATCTCCACAACACTGTGAATGCCCTAATAGAGTGATACTGCTCAGTCTGTTGTTGTTAAGTGCTGTGGAGTCAGTTCCGACTCACGGTGACCCTGCACAGGGTTTCCAAGGCTGTAAATCTTTACGGGAGCAGAATGCCTCATCTTTCTCCTGCAGAACTGCTGGTAGTCTTGAACTGCTGACCTTCAGGTTAGGAGCCCAATTCGTAACCACTATGCTACCAGAGCTCAGTCTAGTGTGGGTCAAAGGAACCCTGTGGGCTTGCATTGAGTTGCTAATTGCAAGGTTGATAGTTCAAATCTACCAGTCACTCCAAGAGAGAAAGATAAGGCAAGTCTGTCTGTTCTTACAAAGATTTAGTCTCAGGCAGAATTGATTCTATGCAGTTGGCAGTGGGGTAGTATCGGCCAGAAGAGTACAGGCTAGTAAGACCATTAAGTCCAAGTGCCTTACTGATTCAATGATGTCGTGGCTCTCATCCCAAACTTCTGGGACAATTGGTCTTATGCCTCCGCCACTCTTGAATCCACAGGGTGATTCATCCACCCAAGCCGTCAACCTCCCTAGAACAACTACTAAGTGCAAGACACAGTGTGATGTTGTAGGGTAAGCTGGTTGGTTAGAAGTGCAAGGTTTTGAGAAATTGCTCTGGCAGGAGTTTCTGAGTCCCCTATGCAAGGTTGGTTTGGACAGTTCAAACTCACCAGCCACTCCTTAGAAACCCTATACAAAGTCTCTATTATTTGGAACTGATTCTATGACACTTAACAACAACAAGACACATTTGGTCCGTGTCCTTGAGGAATTCATACTGAGGCAAAGCTCTTCTGGCTGAGGAGTAGCATGGATTCACTCCAGGGTACTCTGGGAACAGAGTCTCTGAGATGATCCAAATGGCTCCTGGAGAGTTCTAGAGAGCTCAGCTGATTATTGAAACTCCTTACTCCCTGTCAGAACTTTTGAAGAGATGAAGCAACTCCTGACCTCTTCCGTCTAGAGACTGCCTGGCTTAGGAAAGTATCCAAAGCAGAGGCACGCTGTAGGTCGGATATAGGTTTCCCAGACCAATTGTGAAAATGGCGGAAGCTTCCCTCCGTCACCCCTCACCTGTGGAGGGAATTGGTGCTGTCCATGGGCAACAGGAAAGAGGGGCAGGAAGTCCAAGCTTCCCTGTTCACCTATGCTGCAGGAAAAGGTAAGAGTGAATAACTACTTTCCTGTACAAGTTGTTGGCAGAGCTGTTTGTAACCATCTGTGCCTCCTGGTCTCTAGCCTCTCTTTTTGCATCTTCTGTTGTCATCCCCCTCTCTTGGACTAAAACACAGTCATAGACCCCTGACTCCTCTGTTAGGAACAACCCACTCTGTCTTACCTGACCTGCCTGCTATATCGAGTTGTTGTTAAGTGCCATTGATTTGATTCCCTCTCACAGCAACCCCGTCTAGAGTTTCCAAGGAGGGGCTGGTGAGTTAGAACTGTTCACTTTACAGTTCAAACCAACCTTGCATAGGGGGCTCAGAAACTCCTGCCAGGGCAATTTCTCAAAACCGTATTACTAAGCAAGCTTCCTGACTGTTGTTTTTATTTCATTTGCACCTTTCCTTGCATCCTTGCAGGATATTCCTTAGGATAATTCAAATTTCTTTTAAATGTTTCAGTTAATCCTCAGAAAATAGAGGCCATTTTTAGGCAATGTGAGATTACAGAGAAATATTGCAGTGGTATCTGTATACAAAGTCTGGAGGACTCCCCCATCCCATACCCAGACCCTCACCCTTTGGCTACAAATCCCACAGGGGCCAAATCAGGGTAACTATAAGTCATTCCTCCCCTGCAAACTCAGCATAGAAAATTATGTGGAACAAAGAAACCAGCAACACCACAAAAAGACACACAGAGAAATGACAATAATCAATTCTTACTTATTTATATCTAATGGAGATGGATTAAATATACCAGTTAAGAGACACAGCAGAATGTATAAGAAAACAGGATCCTTCCATATGCTGTCTACAAGAGATATAACAACTTTTTTTCTGCATCTGATTCCAATCATTGCATCCTGTGACTATAGCTAGGAAGTTTCTGTAACTTAGTGACTTACTGAGAAAAGTTTTGTGTTGAGAAAATTGAGGTAAACACCTGCAAGTCAGTGAGAAACAAGTGAAGAGGGAAAAAGACCCTTGTGATGCTCGGGGGATAAAACAAGTTAAAAAGAAAAAAAAAGCCAAGGCCCTTTCAAGGCATGATTCCCATGAAGACAGTTAAAGTGCTGGGAACCAAACACTGACAAACAGCTTCTTTGTGGAGAAAAGCAATTCGCAG